GATCTGAGGATACTTACTCAAAGCCAGCCAAGACAGGAAAGACAAAGAGATTCTTATCTCCAATTAACCACCAGAAAACTGACAAAGGTCTAGCTTTGAGCAAAAGAGCCCAGGGACAGTGCCCAGGCCCTGAGTTCAAGCTCCATAACTGACAAAAAGAAAAAAAAGAAAAGAAAAATCAAGAGAGAGGGAGGGAAAGGGAAAGGGAGAGAGAAAGGGAAAGGGAGAGGGGTGTTTTCAGGTTGGGAGCATTGCTCAAGTAGTAGAGTACCTGCCTGGAAAGCTTATGGCCCCAGAACCTCAGGAAAAAGGAAGTTTCGGTGCTTCTGAGCTCAATTATCCAAAATGCCTACTTCTTTTCTTGACGACAAAGACCAAGGTAAAAGTTAAATGTCATTGAATAAAAACAGAATGGTCTGGAGAATAACCAACTTGCCAGAACAGTTAATATACTCACAAAATAATATCATTACTATATGAGGACAAGGCAGTACAATTCAGTACTATGAAAAAGACTAAAAACAACAAAAATTAAGATGTGAAACTAGGGGTGGGGGTGGGGGAAGGATTTCAAATAAGTTTTTATATAAGTGATTTTCAGAAAATACTAAATAAAATGTAGTAAATACCATGAAAGGTTCTTAGTCTAAACAAAAGAGCAAAGATTGCTATAAAATAACTAAAAAGAAGAATGAATTGTCAACGTCACAGTGATAAAGGTTTAACAAACATTTAGCAATCATACTTGAGGTTTTATGGATGTCAAAGTGAGATACATTCAATGTTTGTAAAATCAAGCAGAAGAAAAGCAGCGCTGTCTGTTGGATCTTCCACTGTATTTTGCTAAAATGTTTGCTTCATTCTCTACCAATGCTAAAGGCAGAGAAGGGAAAAATATTAAGTGATAATATCCTAATGGGAAAAGCCCTTCAAACTTTGTTACATTGCATACAATATGCGAAAATATATTACCAATTAAAACACAAGGATATATAAATGAACGGATCTCAATGGGGGGGAAATCTGTATGATTAGGAAGTACAGAATTAAGCGGGCAATATTAAAGGACTCTTGTGCTAAGCTTAAGCTGAGTCCCTTAAGTAAAAAGTAAATATCACTGGTCATGGTCCAAGACAAGAACAAAGAACAAGCATTAATTTACCAGCCCTTTCCTTTGCTTTCTGCAGATGATGTAAGACTCCCTCTAAGTCTACTGAAAACATAACTAAAGAGCATAATGACCCCGACAAATACAAACCTGTTCAAGGGAAGAAGAAGCCAGCTTACTGAGAGATCAAACTAGAGCTCTGGCTTCGGAATCTGGGGAGTATCCTGACTTTGTATAGAAAGTTGATAACTGTGTACCGAACTTGAGAAAACAAGTCATGCAGAAAATATTATAAAACCCCAAGGCAACCAAAAAAGAAAAGAATGTTAAGGAATTACCGTAATCTATAATGGACAAGCTTACAATATATACATAAAATCACTATATTACATTTACGATGGTCCAATTAAGACTTAAAACTTGTGGTAACCTAAAGTAGAAACACAAAATTTATGCCACTGATATTTCAAAGGGAAAAGTACAATGTAAGAGAAAAAAGACTACAGAAGATCCAGTATCAGATTTGGGCATTAGACAACAGATTCAAGGTACCTAAGGTATTAGTTTATCCAAGTTAGAGGACTAAAGTAGTTACTAAAATAACTCTGGAAAAATATTTGATACTAGCTGGGCACGGGTGGTTCACACCTATAATCCTAGCTACTTGGGAGGCTAAGATCTGAGGATCGCATCTGAAAACCAGCCCACGTAGGAAAGTCTATGAGACTCTTATCTCCCAACTAACCACTCAAGTAAGCTGGAAGTAAGCTGGGTGCCGATGGGTCACGCCTGTAATCCTAGCTACTCAGGAGGCTGAGATTTGAGGATCACAGTTCAAAGCCAGCCTGGGCTCTTATCTCCAATGAACCACCAGAAAACCGGAAGTGGTGCTGTAGCTCAAGTGGTAGAGTATTTGCCTTGAGCTGAAGAATACACGGACAGCGCCCAGGCCCAAAATTCAACACCCACCACAAAAAAAAAAAAAAAAAAAAAAACCTGAAAGTAGAGTTGTGACTCAAGTGGCAGAGCACTAGCCTCGAGCAATAAAGCTCAGGGACAGCACCCAGGCACTGAGTTCAAACCCCAGAGAGGAGGGGAAGAGAAGAGGGGAGAGGGGAGAGGGGAAAGGGGAGAAGGGAGAGGGGAGAGGGGAAAGGGGAGAGGGAAAGGGAAGGAGAAAAAGAGACACAAGAAGAAAAAGGAAGGAAAATCCTCAATATTAGAACCATACAAGAACACTAACAGGTTGTTCCCTGAAGCCATAATTACCTTAATTATGCACAAATTATAAAAGAAACATCCACATAAACAAAAATATAATTGTAAATCTCATATAGAAATTGCTTATACACACAGGACTCAATGAGGAAAATATGGTACACTAAACTTCATTTACATAAAGCCAATTTCCATCCTAACAGATCAGAGGCTTTAGTTATACCAGATTTATTTAGTAATTGATCCTTATATACACTTGTCATAAACTCTGGAAATTTTGCTCTCTAAAAAAGATAGGGAAACATGATTAGCGTAGTCCTGAATCTACTGGCCTATTTACCTGTGAGTTAAAAAACAAAGAGTTTAAAAATATATTTCTGTTTGGGAAGGAACACAAAGGCACAATGCCTACATGCCGCTGATCATATAAAATAATATTTACCTAAATCAACTCCAGGAAAGGAAACAAGAGGTATTTTTCTTTGTTGCTATTTTTCTTTTCTTTTTGTCTTGTTTGTCTCTCTTTGGGAGGGTAAGGGGAGGCACAGAAGGTGAAGAAATGCAGCAGTGGTACTCACTAGACACTATGTTGAAATGAACTGGACAACTTGTAGGTAGGGACAAGAAGGAAAAACTGGGTGAAAGAGAGGGAAGAAGTGACACTGTCCAAAAAGAAATAGACTCTTTACCTGACTGATGAAACTGTAACCCCTCTGCACATCTCCTTTACAATAACAAATTTTAAAAAATTCAGTCTAGGATAAAAATAATATCATGAATAACCTCAAATACTTTGGAGATAGGCAAGGAAATCATGAACAAGACTGTAACTTACTTCAATATACAAAGATAAAAATAGAATTATTCAGCAACAAGTTCAACTATTCCCAATTATATGCAGATTTAAGACTTTGCTGAATGACAAGCAGTCCCTCAAAATGCAACCATGACAATAATAGACTAGGGAGGGATGCTCAGGTTCTCAAAAAGGACACAAAGGAGGCGGTACAGAATGAGCATTATTCTTAAGTCCACTCAGAAAATGGTTATTAGTATAAGACAACCTTTCCAACCTGTGTCACAGTACAAATCAGCCCCCAAGAATAGGCCTACAAAGTTGGGACGGGGACGGACGCACGCACGCACGCACGCATGGCGGGGGGGGGGGGGGGGGGGGGGGGGGGGGGGGGATTCACTACTCACCTGCTTTCCATAAGTCAATTTAAATTCCCTAGGACCATAAACCAGTTTCAAATATTCAGCAACTATTCCATTTGTTAACAGAGAGCATGTGTGCCACACACACTCTATGCCCCTCCAGCTTTACAAGAGCTCCAAGCACAAAATCTATACCTTTTCCATTCTTTCAAAATCCAAACAACAAGACAATAAATGACTCAATACAACTTAAATAAATAGAACCAGGAGAAGGCTTCACCCTTTCCCATTATAAAAATTACACAGCCTTTAAAATGAAGGGTTTCAAAACCACACGCAGTCCATGCAGAAACGGTGCACCCTACAGCCAGCACCTGCCTTCTCCACGGCTACACGTGTCATTTTAAACGTGTGTGGCGTGTACGCATGGCACACACCACCCACCACATTCATGGTAAGCCCTTGGTCTCAAAGATTTAGAAGGGGTAATAAATTTTACTAGGTGCAAACATAGTTGAAATTAAAATTAAAATGGACATTCTGAACTGCAATTAAGCAAATCTTAATAAAAATTAAGTAATAACTAATCCTTCAAGCCAAATTATTTTAACAACAAAATTAATGTAAATCATTTACTTGTACAGATTTATTCTTTGAGTTCGTTGCAGAAAATTTCGTTTTGGTGCGACCTCTGGCACCGTGCTCCATAGCCACCACTACTCTGAACAACACATGCCCAAGCACCAAACAGCCGGTGCTGACAGAAATACCTCACACGCTGCTTTGTCATATTTTAAACTACTTTCTTTTTATAATTTGTCATTATTTCTTTTTTTTTTCTTTTTTGCCAGTCCTGGGGCTTGACCTTAGGGCCTGGGTGCTATCCCTGATTCTTTGTACTCATGGCTAGCGCTCTACCACTTGAGCTACAGCACTACTTCTGATTTTTAAGAGGTTAATTGCAGGTAAGAGTCTTAAGGGGACTTTTCTGTCCAGGCTGGCTTTGAATCACAATCCTCAGATCTCAGCCTCCTGAGTAGCTGTAATCCTGAGTAGGATTACAGGCGTGAGCTACCAGTGCCTGGCCTCATTATTTCCTTATACAAATTATAAATTCCTGGGAGTAATACAAATTACTATATCAGATGTGTAATTTCATTTATATTCTTTGCAAAAGAATTCTTGTCTTCAGTCCTTGCACTGACAACTTTGTTTTGTAACTGTACAAAAGGCAACAAGCTAAAGAAAGCTAAGTTGCACAACAGCAGTATCTTCCTGCACACAAAGCCAGCCAGCCAAATAAAACTTTCCACTGCTGTCTGCTCCACAAGAGATGACTGCACATTACTTATCCAGAATAACAGCACTTGTCCAAATTAAACTCTAAAAACATAGATAATAAATGTAAAGTCTCCCTTGTTGTAATATGAAATCGAATAAACCAAAAGAAAAAAGGTAAGTCTTTCTAAAAATCTTTAACTCATTACATTTCCAAAACAGCACATTAATGTCTTACTGGTAAACTTGAGGGCCTTTCTTGTTGAATGAGATTCAAGTCTTCGTGGTTGGGTTTTCCAGGAGCCAGAGGAGGTTGAGATCTAGTTCCATAACCTTCCTGAGACATATCCTAAACGAACACAAACAGAAATTCCTCATAAATACTCATAGGCATTGCAAGCTGTTTCGGTAATCAAAATGAAACAAAAGCTCATCACAAAGTATCAAGTAATGCCATATTTTAGCTACCTTACATGTGCATGGTAGCTGCTATTTCCTGAACACTTTGTCAAAGCCAAAACAAAAACAAAGCAACAAATCAATTGCAGAAATACATATATAAGTAGCTGCACTAAGAAGGGTGTCACACAAACTAAGTATTATATTTGAGAGCTTTAGTTTTTAAGGTACACCAAACCAAAAGCTCACTATATTACTTTTAATTCTGGCTTTGAGTATACTATTTAATTCTGGCTTTGGCAAACTATCTTTAACATTATCTCCAATTTTAAAAACAATAAAAAGTTTATTGTCAGCCACATCTTAATATGCCCCTCCAAAACAGTGTAGATTATTATTAAGTTCACAGTATCCTGGGGTTTCTACAAAGCTAATAAACATTCATGTGCAGAAGTCCACATGCCCATGCATCATGGTTTTCAGAAAAGCCTAAGGAGGAATAAAACAGTCGGGGAACAAAACACGCCTCCATGCCACCTGCTGCGAATGGGAAACATGCTTTCACACGCTTTCGTCAGCTCCCAACATGCATGGTTTCAGCACTGTGGTGAAACAGGATTATACAATCCAAATACCACATGGTACTACACAGCATATTTATCACTAGCTCCTTAAACGTGTGTGCTCTGCCACTGAACACCCTACCATCATTTACACTCCAAGGCCGGAATGTTAAGGACTTATTATAGCATGTCTCAATTGGCACTGAAAGCTGAAGAACCAGTTTGTAGTTGGGGAGGAAGAATGGAAAATACTGCCTTAAAATAAAATTCCTCTTTCCTGTCAGTTCAAATAGGTGTTGGCATTAAAGAAACATCATATCCAAATTCTACTTCTCCTATATTCCCCCTAAATACTACTTCGAAATGTAACATTTACTAGTAAAGCTGTATAGAAAGCTTCTGCAGCCTTCTCCTACAGATACACTTAAAATTACACATCTTCTAAAGCAAAAGGCTGGTACTACAAAATCAACAAGCTGCACAACCAGATTTAACTAGTCAACACTAGCCCAGTACTGGTGGCTAACTGCTTTTAAACAGACTCCAAAAATAAAGAAGCATTCAACAATGCAATGTTTTCACTATCAGCCTTTATTCCTTTTAAAGAGGAAATTAACCACAAACAACAACTAAAAGATTTAACTTCTAGGAGTACTGTATTTTCACACTGGCTTTCCCTTGGTAACCTCAGTGTGGGAAGGTGGAAGTAAACACAGGAGATCCAAAGACACTTAAAGGGGTAGCTCTTCAATCTGGCAGCCAGCAGAGGGTAACAATTAGTGCGGGACAAAAGCAAGGGCAAAAAGATTACCACCCTCCTCATCCTCCAGCTACAAGCCTCAGAGACCTCCTGCCGAGTGCTTTGTGTTTCCTGTAGGCTAATGGTCTGGTTTTCAAATTAAATGGGGCACAAGGCCTCCATTCACTGGCCTTCACCCTGTTACAGAGACAACACAAAGGTACAGCCTGCAGCACAATGGACAACCAAGTGAGCAGGCCCTGGGCCTGTGCATCACGGTTTCCCTGCAGAGCCCAGACCATGTCTTTAGTAAATTTCAGTTAGCAAACAGAAAGACTCATGTAACCTGCTACATTGTTATCTGTTTTCTCTTTATAGCTGCATGAACTGCTTTTTAAAGAAGTTGAGAAAGACATGACATCCATAGCATATACACATTCCAATTTATAAATTAATCCCCCTAAAAGGGGTAACACTGATCTAACTGGATGAATACTATCAGAAAAACATATCATGACGTCACATTTCATTTTCAAAGCTTTAAACGTTTAAAATAAGTAGATTCTACCAAAACCTAAAGTGCTATTCTAACCACAGAAAGCTTTCAATTACTAAATATAGTTGGAAATAAAACCAAACTGAAATTTTCACTAAAAAGGAATCTTGTTCTACCTTAGTTTGTGTTTGTGTCTAATGAATGATTAACGGAGAGCATACAGACTAGATCCTAACTGCTAATTTCTGACAATCATCGCAAGCATAAAATATACAGAGAAACTACAAAGTCTATGTTTGGCTGTTTTAATAAACATGTAAAAGTTACAACCCATAACAATTTTGAACATTTTCACTTCAATGCTATATTTATGTTTAGGCACATATTTATTTTTACCTCAATAAGAAATAAATATAAGTTAATAATAAATACAAGGAAGTTAATAAAATGTCATCAGAAAAAGTGGTTTGCACTGCATTTAAAATTAAGAATGATGGGGGCAAGGAATGTGGCTTAGTGGCAGACTGTTTGCCTAGCATGCATGAGGCCCTGGGTTCAATTCCTTGGTACCACAAACACAAAAACTAAAATTATTTTAAAGATTATGAATGATGTATTAACCAATGTAGTGGACACTTACTAAATGTGTACTATAGATGGTTTTTTTTTTGCTTTGTGGGTCCTTTACTGCAGGATAGCAAGAGGCAGGACCAGAAGAGGCACACTAGGGTCTATTACAATGATAAAACCAAAGCTACCACAAGAGTCTAGTGAAAGGCCCAGAGCATAAGCTACTTCTATTTTACTATGAAATGAATTAAATGCTAATCACAATGGGAGCTTTGGCAGAAAATATAACCTCAATGGAAAACCACGAAGTACTATTCACAACAAAATTATAGAACTAGAGCACTTTCCTAGCAAGTAGCATGCCCTGGGTTCAAGGCCGGGAGGGAGGGAGGGAGGGAGGGAGAGAGGGAAGGAAGGAAGGAAGGAAGGAAGGAAGGAAGGAAGGAAGGAAGGAAGGAAGGAAGGAAGGAAGGAAGGAAGGAAGGAAGGAAGGAAGGAAGGAAGGAAGGAAGGAAGGAAGGAAGGACTTCAGTCATCTTCAAATTAACCTTATCAGATTTGTTTTTCCAGTAGATTGCCAAAGTGAAGCCTACTTGTTGGCTCAGTAATCCTTGCTGAATCTCATCTTCTAGCATAAATCTAACAGGCTGAGTCTTACATTGGCTTCACTGCTTAAAAGCCTGATTTCCTGTACTTGGTTTCTTTTCATTCAAAAGAGTAATTATTTTCCAGAGTTTGTAAAAAGCATTCAAGAAAAAGGACAGGCCTATACAAGCTGTTTAGGGACAATTCTTACTGATAAGTTTTGTATATTAACAGCCAGTTCCTCGTGGGGGAAATGCCTGGCTAAACAAGAACGTAGCGTGGCACGTCTCTGCAATCCGGGGTGGCAGCAGCTGTCCAAGCCTGCAGAGAGCAGGAAGCCTGCAGGGAGCAAAAGGGCAGCGCTCTCTCCTCTGAGGTTACCACATCAGAGCCCTGGATCCAAGACACTGGCTCTGGGGCCTTAGGAAAGAAGCTTTTCATTGTCTTCCCAAGAACTTCTCCCTAAATCACCAGTTAGTCCCAAGTAAAAAGTTGCCTCAAGCCACATTTCCTAAAGTTCTAGCAAGAGACATGAAGTCAGCTGGGAAGGATTCAAGTAATTATGTATAGGGGGCTTTTTTTTTCCTGCCAGTGCTAGAGCTTGAACTCAAGGCCTCATGCTCTGGGTAGGTTGTTCCAGCTCAAAGCTGGAGCTCTATCTTGAGCAAGGGCTCTGCTTCCAGCGTGTTGCTGGTTAATTAAGAGATAAGACTCTGGAGGATCTGTCTGTCTGGGCTGGCTCTAAATAGTGATCTTCAGATCTCAGCCTCCTAAGCAGCTAGGATTACACGCATGGGCCCCCAGAGCCTAGCTGTAATTTTTAATAATCAAAGGAGCCCTAAAGATTCATAAAGCCAAATAAGGCATTGTAAATATTCAACTCTCTTAAGTCTTTGTAGGAAAAAGTAGTAAATGAAAACACTAAGTTTTAAAATCTATACAGCACCCATGAAATTCAGTTTTGTAACTCATTACCAAGTTTCTTCATATATAAAACCAAGATGTGGGAGGACCTGCCTCCTCAGACAGTAGAAACCTTCTCCTAAGAAGCATATAGTGTTCAGTACTACCAATTAGTATTATCTTAAAACATTTAAAACAGTTCATTCGGGGCTGGGAAGATGGCTCAGTGGTAGAGCGCTTGCCTTGCATGCCTGAGGTCCAGGGTTCAATTCCTCAGCACCACATAAGCAAAAAGAAAAAAGCCGGAAGTGGTGCTGTGGCTCAAGTGCTAGAGCACTAGCCTTGAGCTGAAGAGCTGAGGGACGGCACCCAGGCCCAGAGTTCAGGCCTCACGACCGGAACCAAAAAAAAAAAAAAAAAATTAAATTAAAATAGTTCATTCAAGCACTAGGATTTCGTCTGGTGTCTAGGAAGCAGCAGAGCAAAATCCACAGCTTATATGATTTGCCAGGTGTTTTTCCACATTTTATTCATTCAAGAAACTTCTGGTCGTCCCACAGAACCCGAAAATACATAAGCATATATGGTCCCTCATGTACTAAGGTATCTGTGGAATACTGGTTCTAACATCTACTCCTGTGCAGACACCAAACTTTGTGGATGCTCAGACCCCTTTCATAAAATGGCATACTATTTGTTCTTTATTCAACGTATGTGCTCCCAGACTTGGTATCATCCCTACTGCACTCGCCATACCTAATACAAGGCTACGCAAATAACGGTGACCATCTACAGTTTAAGGACTCATTACAAGGAAAGAGGTCTGTCCATGTTCAGTACAGATAAATTTGATTGAGTATTTTTATCTGAGAGTAATTGAATCCATGTGCTTTCCATTTACTATCACATACTACTTCACTGATGAAGAAACCAAAGTTGAATAACATGAAGGCTGCTGAGTTGACAAGTGGAGGAGGATTGTGGGAACCATTTCTCCTGTGTCTACGCTAATGACTTTCTTACCGCGCACCCCATCAGACATGGCCTAACTTCTGTACCTCACTCAATAACATCCCAATCTAAGGGTTTGGCGT